TGACATCATTGTCTTCCCAAGTAACCGTTACGCGTGATGGAGCCCTGCTTTCCTGGGGATGGCTGAACACCTGCCTGCCGATGGGAAGTAGTGAATGAATTCCTTGTTTTGCTTTGCTTGTGTGCACGGCTTTTGCTTTACCTATTAAACTGTTTTTATCTCAACCCATGAGTTTTCTTACTTTTACCCTTCTGATTCTCTCCTCTATCCCACAAGAGGGAAGTGAGTGAGTGGCTGTGTGGTGCTTAGTTGCCAGCTGGGGTTAGACCATGACATAAGCAATCAAAACGTAACAAATGAATGAAGCTCAGCAGTAATCCAAGTACTGTAAGCATGTATCCTCAAACCAGTTTTGCAAATTGGGACAGAGAGCTATAATTGACCTTGCTGAAGTGACCTTTATTTTCCACAGTTCATGATCAAAGTAGTTACGTTACACTGAATAACTCTTCTAATTCACGACACCTGAATAAACAGCAGGAAAACCAGCCTGGAATGCACATTTCACTATCTGCAGCCATCCTGCAGCACAGCCTGAATAAAGTCCTTCCCCTTGTCTCTACACTGAAGTGAACTCTAATGATTAAAAAATGCTTCTGGACTGAAAGGTGCATCACACTGATAACAGGCTTGTTTGGAGACTCGAGCTGTGCCTCAGCATGGCCTGGAATAGTTGTAACTTTGCCTGGGTTTGGGGTCTGTTTCCATATCTGTTTTTCACTTAAAATATTCCCTGGCTGTTCCAAAGCACATTAAGCTGAAAGTTACCGGACTCCATACAAAAGAAGAAGAAAAAGAGTAGGTCTGAACTGGCCAACACAAGCTTTTAACAAGCAGAATGGTATATAAAAATAAAAGAAAAAAAATCCCTGTGGATAGTTTCCAGAGTTGCTTTGGATTTGATCATCTCTCTTTCTTCCTCTGGTTCAATTATTTTCAACTGAAAATGTTTGGCTTCTTTGGCTTAGGCTACTGCCTTTCTGCAGTTAAAAAAGAAAAAAAAAAAGTCTTAAATGCATCCAAGTGTTTTAAGCTAAAAGTAGTGACTTTTCACCGTGCTCTCTGAGCCATGAACAGAGGACCAAACCTGGGGCTGCAGTGCCTTCTTGGCACACAGCCGTCCCGCCAGGCTCTGCAGCCACATAGGCATACTCAAAACCTGCAGAGGGGAAGGTCGAGTCAGCCAGCAAAGAGGGGCCCTTTTCCCCCTCACCCTCTAGAATAGTTGCTGGAGAGTTACTCAACATCAGATCAGGGTAGGGACTGCTTGTTAACATATATGTTCCAGGCCCTCGGCCCTCTCCTCTTTTTCCCTGCCCTACCTCAATGATATGACAGCCCAGGAGTCCATAAGCCAAACTAGGAAAGACTCATTGCAATTAAAGATAGGTTTGACTGCTTTTAAAATTGAGCATCCTGCTGAGCCATCAGTTAACAGAGAGGTAAGGAACACATGCTGTTTTGCAAAACGGTCCAAGGCTTGGGTCCTACTTGAAGACATAGTTATAGATGATGTCACTACCATTTATGAATCCAAGTATATGTTATTTCAGTAGACATTTCATGGTATCCATTATAGTTACAGATGTTACAAGCTTCCATTATTAATTTTTTTTATGTGCTCATAACTTTCCAAATCCCTGATTGCTTCTGTTCAAATGTCACTTTGTTCTCCTTTACAGTCTTTTGGGGGAAGGTTTTAACAAAACCTCGTTACCTGTTGTTTAGGTTAAAAGATGGGAAACTATGCCATTGTCTGTCAATAAAACTCTAATCATATTCTTTGAGCAAAACATACACAAAAAAACAACCCACCTAATAGCCACACCCCACCTCAGCATAGACCTCATCCTTATGAGGTCTAGTGTTTATGTTTTGTTTTATGGGTAAGGCTTTTAAACAATTTAAATAATTTTTTTAATGTACTGGGAAGCGTCTCCTAGTGTGTGTGTGCCACTGCCCTCTGCTGCACAGAGGCAGGAGAGCTTGGCTGCTTTCATAGGGGTGGAGGTGTGGTCACCCACCCATATTCCTACTTAGAGTAAGTGCTTAGGTCCTACTGACTTCATTTGGGAGCTAGAGCTATGGAAGTAGTTAAATCTTCACCTCCATGGGAGTTAGGCACCATAATAACTGTGAAGATCTGTCTGTTTCTGTCTTCTGTCAGTAGAAAATGCCACATGCAAAGAGTGTGCAAGTATGGTGTCCACCACAGCCCCCCTGGGTTGTTGTTTCCTGAGTTGCATATCTCAAAATATCTAGGAGATTCACTGCAAGCAGTGTTGTGTTTCTATTGAGCATTACTAAAGTGTGATCTAAAGCATCTCTGGCCTTTTGTTCTCTCCTTTCATATGCTTCTGGCATGTAACAGACTGACACCCTCAAGGCCGAAAGCGTTTTGCCTAATCCAAGGTTTTGGGCTAAAATATAAGGCTTAGCAGGATAAATGTATTGGGCTAAATAGAGGGATAAATGTAACCTGGCCAGTAATAGCTGTAATTATCCATTCTGGACATCAGTGCTAGGAAACTATGAAAATCAGCTAAAATCTCCAGAAATGTTTAGGATCACAGTCAGCCACATTGCTACAACCCCCCGTCAGGAGGACAGCTCTGCTTACTATATAGAGCAGGGAGTTTAACTCATCTAGAGCTGCTCTCTGTCATCTAGAGCTGCTATACTCCTTATGGATTTATTGAGGCAATTAAGATAACACATCCACATATCTCAGTCCATGGATTTGCACCTTTTGACGCTGTCTTTTTTCCATTAAAGCCAGGTTTCATGTATTTCTGTCCCTCAGTTTAATACTAGTGACCATGAAATCTGAACAGTAACTTCTTTTTCAAAATTTGCTCCCAGTGAAATTGGTGTGAATTTTGCCAGTTGGAACAGGCCAATATCAAGTGCTTTTGAATTATAGTTGAGTGATTTTCTTTGCTGTATTTCACAAATAAATAACTTTTCTCTCTAAAAATGAGGCCTGTTCAACCGTGCATCAGGTTCCAAAAGTCAGCCTCATAGTTTTGGACACTTAAACTTGATAACACATTGGAAAAAGTTCTGTAGCCCTGATTTCTGCTGAAGGAATGGAATTAGGAGGAAATTACTGCCTTGGTTTGTTTCCATTTCTGACTTCTTTAAGCTTATCTATTTGAAGCTGTTTAAACAATGCATGAACCGTCTCATATGGATTACACACAAAAAAAAAAACCCTCTTAAATATATATATGAAGTCTCACATCATTTAGAGCTAGGGGATCATTTCAAGCTTTTATCTTAACTGGTACACAAAGGAGGTAGGCTAAACCCTAAACCTTAAACTGTGATTCTTTTCTGGTTATAAATATATATATATTACTTGTATGGGCTGACAGGCAAAGATTTCTCTATCAAGTATGTGCCATTTACAAGCAGAATGTTGTCTCCATTCTAGTCACCAGCCACAGGAGCTCAGCTGGGGCCCTGAGTGTCAAGCTGAGAGCTTTTCTGACACCATAATAAAGGTCCTGTAGGCTAAAATACTGGTAGTCCATCAGTGACACTTCTGAAATCCCTTTGATGGGCTTACACAAATGCAAAGATTCATACTTAGCAATGCTGTTGATGGTATACAACAATGATGGTTCTTGAATCATGCTCACCCTGCATTGTCTTCTGTGTGTTTGCATGTGTGAGTGTATATATATGGATATGTGCATGAATATACATAGGTATATGAAGTGTGAAGATATATGTAGTATAGACACCTGAGTTTCATACATATTTGTGCATGTGTTTAATATTAAATTGGGACTTAAATAGAAAGAGCAAGAAAAAGCTACGGAAAGCTTATTTTAAAAACCATGGTCTTGTGGCTGTGGTATCTCACTCAATCAGAAGCACTGATTTTATCAAAGAGAAATTGTGAAAATGAAAACTGCTGCTAGTTCTCAAATACAGTCCCTGTTTGTTTAGCTTTTATTTACTTCACTTTGAAATAATACACTGTAATCTTTCCACTTTTTAGAGACTTTATCTCTAAACTGTGGCATCCAAGTAGGTGGCCTAGCCAATATTTCCTTTTCCCCAGTCAGATACGCTGGTAAAAGGTGGCAGATTGTGTTTTCAGGAGGCTCGAGAAACTTGCTGGCAAGCTTTCCTAGGGTTATCATCACATGTCAAAGATGATGTCTGTATAGAACACAGATTTCCTAACAATGCGGCTTCCTTAGAAGGAAAATTTTGTTTTCTTTAGTTCACTCATTTTGAATGAATGAAGAAGTCCACGGGGAAGGAGTTAGTCCTTAAATAAAATACTTGTTCTTATAATAACCATATTCCTGCTTCCTCTCTACACCTCCAAAATTCACCATAAATAAGAGGGTGTGGTAATTAATTGCCAGCCAAGTGGTACAGTTAATGTTCTGCAAATACAATATCCTGTGGGTGAAGTGACATTGCTAAGTTATAATATGTCCAGTTCTGTGTTTGTCTATCAATACAGACAGCCACATGCACACACACATGTGTGCCAAGAGGTGTTTTTTTTATTTTTTTTTAAATGTGATACTTCAATTTCTCTTTCCTTCCTAGAGAATTCAAAGTACTACTTAAAGGACTTAATTTCTCTGCAATAGAGCTCATGGGCAAACACTCAATAAATGCAAAATAAGGAATGCAGTCATGGTTCTAAAAACATTTCACATTCTTCAAACTGATGCCAGTTGTATGCATTGACAGTAATCCTGTCTAATCCTCTCCACATGTATTATCTTTGTACACCTGCTCTCATTGTCTCACTATCAGTTTTTCATACTTAGAACCACCATATACAAGAAGGGAAAGCAACAGAACAAAATACACTTGCACACACAGTGTTATGCTGCAATTTTGCATTGTAGACATAAAACACTTGTAGATTTTGGTGCTTAGAGTCAACATCTTCCATTAAGATATTTTTTCTACTTTTTTTTTTTTTTCCTCCACTGGTGTATGTCTGTATTTATCTTTCTTGGCAGATTAACTGAAGCACATCGAACTGCTGTAAAAGTCATCAGGAGAATGCAGTATTTTGTAGCCAGAAGAAAATTTCAGGTAAGCAGCACCATTAACCATAAGTACAATTTGTAAGCTTAAGTATATGGCGTTGAAAGTGCTCTGAGACTGAACTTGTCTTTGTGCGCACAGTTGTAATAAGTCAAAGGTACTGTTTAGGCTTTCAGCCTCATACTTACCCTATGTGGACTTTTTCATAGTGTGGGCAAAACTATCAACTATCCATGGGTATAGTACAATACGAAAACCTTCTGAATTTGTGGAATCAGCATAGTTATTTTTCACTTCTCTTTCTTACTGTGTTTGTTTAGTTGGGGTTCTGTTTGTTTGTTTTACTATTCTGACCAATATATAAACTACTTACCCCTCTACTAGAAGAAGTGAAGAAAAGACTCTGTTGGAGTGTCTGCTAAAATACCGTTACTGTCTATCATGGTCATCTAATGACTGGTTAGAAAATGTTAAACTAATTGCATGCCATGTATGGCTGACAGATAAATAGACCTTACTGATGAGTACTATGCTGTGTAAAGTTGCTTTCACCTTTGTGGCCCACATTTCCAAATTTGGTTCCCAGAATGGGACATCATAGAGAGGCCGTACTTTATAAAATTGTGGAGCATCTGCCCTCTGGAAATTTGCTGTCTTTATTAAGTCTTAAGTTAAATTTCTCAATCAGGTTACAAAGTGCTCAAGCTAAATGTGCTGCATTGGAAAAACTGTCTCCTTTTGCCTATTTACTAAGCCCATTATAATAAAATTTGTTTAGAATGTGATTCTGGTATCATCATTCTCATCACCTATGTGCTGGTGATGTCATGGAAATGAATAATTAACTTCTGGCTTGATTTTCAAAGCCCCTGTTATTTGCACCTGAAGGTTCATGCTATTTTGTCCAAGAAAGTCCACTGCAAGTTAATCAGCTTTCAGAATTCTTTTGAAGAGGTTTTAAAAAGATAAAGCAATAACCTAAATTTCAAGCAAGTTTGATTAGAGCTGAGCACTTAATTGCAAGGGATAGAAGTCTGAGATAAGCTCACACCACTCAGAAGACCGTGAATTAAGGCAGACAAAATAGCACATACATTTCCCAAGCTCATGCAGAAATGTATCTTCAGACCTTACCTTATGAAAGAAGACTAGGAGAAGTCAGTTTGTTTAATTCAGCAAACAACAGGAGAGAAGGATTATATTGTAAATGCACTAGAGAGATAAACACTATGGGAAATTTAAAAAAAAAAAAAAAAAAAAAAAAAGGAAAAAAAGGAAAGAAAATTAAAGACACCATTCCTGGAAAAAAAAAATCAGTATATAAATGAGTTAGGATAAAAATCAGGATATTTCAAACCACCAGAAACCTAATGTTCTGGAGCTGTCATGCCAAACCTTAAAAACTGAACTTGATCAGTCTATGGAGAGGATTCTGTGAGTTGGTGTTAGTGATAGGGAAGAAGAAGAAGGAATTATCTTCCATGTTTTTCTTTCTTGGGACTTTGAAATATAGCTTATAAGACCCCCTATGTTAATTAGATTTTGGATGTTCAAAGCTGGGTAATACTATTTTGAGTTTTGCATTAGGAGCTGTAAGCATGCTGGGTGTAGAATGCTGAGCACAAATGGCCAGGATTTGGGATTATGGACAGAATGAAAGTTAAAGAAGTTCTTCGAGTTCTGCATTTACCAAACCTCCCTGGAAGCCCATTACCTCCCGCCTTCAGTTGTATTGTACCAGCATTTCCTAATAAAAACATGACAAGAGATAGTGCCAAAGTTTGGCAGGACATAAGATGCTCAGATCTAAAGCTTGATGAGAAAAGAGGAGAGAAAAATGGTGAAAGCTGGAAGGATATTTTTACTATGCTTTAGAGAGGACTCAGGCAGACTGCTGTGTACAGTACTTTGTGACTATAGGATTCAAAGCTGATGATTTGATAAAAAGGATAACAGATAGGGGACTTCTTTTGAGGGAGAAAAGACATTTCATTGGGAATGAGTAGAATTAATTATGCACATGGTAGCCCATGGGGGAGAGGGGAGGGAGGTGGGGAAAAATCCCCAGCACATCTAGGCTCTGCGCCATGCATCGTGTTTAAATAGAGAGTGTCCAAAGGAAAGGACAGAGGATTTAGCCAAAATGCTCTCAAAGCACCCCCGCTAGTCAATCTAAAGAGTGATACTGGCACTGTTTCTCTGGGTGAAGACAATAGGCTGCTTTTCTGGCCAGAAATACTGATGTGTCAGCGTCTGCAAAAATGTGAAGCTGGGGAAGGCAAAAAAAAAAAAAAAAAAAGCGATAAACTGAAAGCTGAAACCTCCCTCCCCCGCAACGTATCTCTTCTCACAAATGTACACGCATGCTACCAAAGCCACAAACTCTTCTGAAAGTAATAATGCAGGTAAGTGCTGACGGCTGAGCGCAAGGAAGGCATTTTATCATGAAGAGCTTTTGCTTCTTCATTCATTTCACAGGATTTGTTTCCATTCCAGTTCCATGCTTTCATTTGAAATTTCTAGGATCCTGTGGCTGCCTTCCAAGCATGACTCCAGCACATACTGTAGGTGTTCAATGCATGTGTGCAGTGGTGCATGCTAATGGCTCTGGCTGAAGCTGTGACAGAGTGGAAACAGACAACAAGATGACTAATGAGCTGTTTTCAGTAATTTCCAATTACTAGATTTGCAGTTTACCTTTCTTTTTTTTCTTCTTTTCTTGAGCCAGAGCCAAAAAGGAGACATCTTGCCCCACATTTCCCATAGGGGTTGGTATGGCTCTGAAAATGCTGGTGTTTTTGAAAGGACATCATTTGCGTTTATTCCAACACACACATTCATTTTACTTGACAAAATTTTACCATGCTGCACTTTTTATAATCACATCACTTTATGCAAATTCTCTAGAGTTGTTTCAAAATTCTGCCTTAGTATTTATAGCAAGAAACCAGAGCTTGGCAGAAGCATCTGGATTCTCATTAGAATGGGAATAAAGCTGGGCAGATGGCAGTTTTTTAGCTCTCTTGCATTTTTTATCTGTCCTTTTTAATTTATTTGAATTGCATCTCTTTTCCTGACCTTGTAGGTATCATTAAAGACAAAGAAGCGCAAACAAAATCTACGTGCAGCAGTCTTCAGACTTATGCAAAGCATCTGTCCTCCTAGTTACTTAAGCAATAATATTTCTGTCACCAAACCTTTTTAGAGGCATTTGATTCTGGGTCTAAGTGTTATGAATTGGGCCTACCTCTGTGGTTCAGTCCTCTGACATTATGATTAACATATGGTTTTGGAATGAGCCAAGAGATACCACACATGATAGTCTTAGATAAATTATATATCTTGGTTTTGTGTTTTTTAAATCCACTGTGAAGGTCTAATATTTTGCTCAGTATGAAGTGACATGAAGTCATGACTCTTAACTGACAGTAGTGGGAATCATTTGGCTCCATCTCCACAATAAATATGCACTTCTACAATGCCTACATATTTTTTATTCATTGCAACAACCATTGCAAAATGGCAAGAAAATAACCTCTGGAAGATAAAAAATAGAATGACGGCCTGTCTGAAATAAAAATCAAGTTTAAATTATACTTGCCTTTCAATCTCATGTATGACTCCTTTCACAGCAAGCTCGGAAACCTTATGATGTACGCGATGTGATTGAACAGTACTCACAAGGACACCTTAATATGATGGTTCGGATAAAAGAACTTCAAAGAAGGTAGGCCCTGTCTACTTCATGAAATATTTGATTCCTCTGGTGCCAGCTGGCTTTAGGAGAGATGTGTACTTAATGAACAGTAATTGTCCAAAATTGCAAGCACAACAGGGAGCACAATATCTAGAGGATTTAACTTGGAGTCATTTTTAACCCTTTTTATGACCAAGTTTACAATTATCCTTTATTCTCCTCTCCTCCTCCTCCAAGTGAAATTAAAAGAAATTAAGGTGCATGCTGTGAAGTTTATAGTATGAAGTGAGCTTTTCTGCCCTCTTCTTAGAAAAGGAAAACTTTTCAAATAATGATTTACCTTTCTGTCCCCTCTCTGTGTTTCTCCACAACTAAGAGAAATCTGGTTCATTTGCGCTGCCCTCTCTATCTGGAACTTTTCCTTTCCCACATTCCTCCATGCACATGCTTTCTCTGAGTTTGGGGATTGCAGCTGAAATATTTTGCCACAAAACTATTCTCTTCTGTTTCAACACAAAGTGCTTTTCTCTTTACAAATTAACACTGCAGACTGGGACACCAGACTGAACTCCTCTGGCCCTTAAATGAAATGAAAAAGAAAAAAATCCTATTGAATGGAATCTACTGTGTCAACATATATAGATATTAAATCTGCCTGCATGAGATTCAAGGAACAGTTGCAAATGTTATTAAGAAGCCATTCTGTTTGTATAGTCTTTGTTATTAGATTACATATGACACAGGATAACTATGTTTTAGTTACAACATGAAAGTCTAAGAAATAAAATATTAGTACTCACAAAAATAACAATAATAATATGGTTTGATTTTGGAAAAAAATCCTAAAGAACTAAACTGCTGTCTGTATGTGCAGAAAATCAAGCTAGTCTCATATATTTACTTGCTTTGTTTTAGGTTTAAAGCTACAGTAAATTCTCATGTAAATTATGCTCCTATGCTTTTCCTAGCAACAGAGTTTAAGTTGCTTCGTAATTGCACTGCTGGTAATTCCCTGTTTGCTTTTCAGATTGGACCACTCCTTGGGAAAGCCAGGCCTTTTCCTCCCAGGTACAGTGACTGCATTTTATGAAAAATGATTAGCTTCATAACTTTGTGAAAATACCCATGGCTACAGTGATATGGATTTCTAATTCAGCCAATTATGCATGAGTATATAATTCTGTTAATAAGCCCTGGAAAGATAAATACCTTGCATTGAGGTGGTAGTGGAGTAAATGTTAAAACTGTGTATCAGTGCACGATGAGTTGGAAACATATTGCTGGAAATTTTTTCACCAAAATATTCTTTCTAAATCTTTTGTGCTGGGATTAGAATATATGTTGGTTCCACTTAAAAAGATTTCTTCCTTTCTGAACAACCTATGGATTCCAGTTTTGGAAAGCTCAAAGGAAGATCAAGAGTATCATTCAGGAAGAACTGGAGTAGCCTTGAAAGCCATGCACAGCAGTGAGATTCTGGGAAAAGCTTGTGGTGGGAATCACGGAGATCAGAAACCTGAGTGCTTGTATGGGAAAGACTGAAGGAAGTGTTTATTTTTTATTGTAAGAGATTGACTTCTAATTTCCAGAGGCCCTGTCTCATTCTCTGTCCCTACTAGCTCAAAAGTGACTTAGGAACTGAAGTCCCATATCCCCAAGTGACTTTGAGCACTCATGGGAAAAAGTGCAACTGAAGGTGCCAAAGGTATTTCAGAGCCTTTAAAAAAAGACATATTATCAGTGGTTAAAATGGTTTATACTATCAGAATAAGGAACATCTCTCAAAGCACATTTTTAACATCTGATTGCTGCAGAAGACTCTGTAGTACAATCCTCTTTC